TTGTAGTGTGAAGATTTAGGACAGGGATGAGGAGGCAGGTTCCAATCTGCAAGTTAATCATAGTGTCACATGGATTGATGAATTAACAGGCCAATGATAGGTTTATATACAAAAGTCATTTTCTGTCCTAAAAACTTAAGTTTCATGGGAACATAATGCATATAGGTTCTATAAAATCATTATCTACAACACAATCACATAATTGAAGATCTGTCCTATTTTATTGAGAGAAGAAATTATCAAAATGTGAAATTCTAAAAACAGTAGTTTCTAATTGAAAGCCTAATTCTTTCTTAATTATAGGTGGGCTACAGTGGCACTATAATTAGAATGATCAGCAACTCCAAAATGATTCAGGTGTTATCATTCACTCTGTATAAGTAACGTGCATGGGTTGTATAAGCAGAAAACTGCAGAACATGAAGTTGCCAATTTACTTTCCTCACTTATCTTGGTAGTTGCCCTCCATTTACTTTCTCCTTCCAGCCAAACAAAATAAATGTTTTATCAATGTTTAAATAAATGTTTTATTAATTGAAAGATTGTCATTGAAGAAAAATATATGTTAAATTAGAAAATTTGCAACTTCAACTGAACTTCTAAAACTATTACACTGATTTCATTAAAGTAATATTAATACAACCTAAAATCTGAAAGTAGTTTAGGCTTTCACTTGAACAACTAACATCACTTTTGTATGAAAAAGGTCCCTATAAACTACAAAATATTCATCTCATAATTGCATATAAGGTGCTTTCATTTCAACAAAGATTTCATGAAATCATTCATTAATGTTGAGATAATAGACTAAGAGCTCAGAATTCTGAATTTGATTTTTAAAATGTACATGAACTTCTAAATGTTCATAAGTTGTTTTTCATTCTTGAGTTAGTTATTTAAAATTTAGACAATGACCTAGGTGCTCTGACCAGTTTCTCCAATGCTAACTAATCCAAAGCTCTTGCTTAGATAAAAAATAAAAAATAAAAAAAAAAAAACCATGGTTGATATAATAAACACAGCAATAGACCTTTAAATAGTAATATAGCTAATAATCATTAAATTGTAAAAGAGGATACAAAGGAAGAAAGCTATCAACAAAATCAAAATAAGTCATATTAGGAAGAATAAGATAAATGTTAGAGCTTTGAAGATTAGCCGATGATACCAAGTATGTGGGCACACTCCTATAATCTCAGAAATTTGGATCTGGGATAATAAGGCAAGAGGATCACAAGTTCAAGGTCAGCCTCAGCAACTTAATTCATCAAAACTTTAAAAAAAAATTAAATTTTTTTTAAAAGGTTAGGATATAGATCAGTGGTAGAGTGCCCCTGGGTTTATCCTTTCACCCCTAAAAAATTTCTTCTTGTACAATTTTTTTGTCAAAAGTTTCTTCTTCTACATGTAATTAGTTATTTTCTTGGGTTGTGGGTCTGAGAGTAAGTACCACAGACAGCCAAAGAACAAAGTGTAGAGTACATGTCTTCAGTCTGTCTTCAGCTCACTTCATCTACACCCTCTTTCCTTGGAGGCTGGTCACTACCGCAATCAATCTGTCAGCATTCACCCTCTTCTGAATGTACCTTACAGAGACTCCAAAGTCCCTAGAGCCAAAGAACAATTGAGAAAGATATATGATGAATATGAATTTTTGGAATACAATTTCCTTTGCAACTTTTTCTCCCAGATACTTAGAAATTCAACCATACTACAGCTAAAAAACTGCAGTATACCTTAGGATTAAAAAAAAAATACCAATGAATATCAAATATTTTTGTTTCCAAAATGTCTCCAAATTGTCTTCATCTTGTTTAATACACTGTACATGACAGTCTGTGAATAGTAAGTATGTGCTCAAAAGGAAATATTTATGGATGCTGCCGGAAAACCATAGTACCACAGTCAATATTTGGGGTGTCAGAAACAAAAATAAGATTTTCCTATTATCATCATAACACCCAAATATGAAATATTAATATAGAAAGAAAAGTTGTTCAAAATTATTTACAAACTATGAACACTTTTTTATTTAATCCCCCTTAGAGAAATAAGTCTTTTGTATACATATTTTTTCAAATCTCAACCATGTCATATATTTCAACAAAATAATATGATGAAGCCTTATTCTATTAATATGTGCTGCTATATAACTTTTGCTTTCTGACACAAACACAATAAATAATGTGGCTTATGAGTATTTTTGAGCTCACATTCTTCTTTCTTTAGATAAGAAGAAGCTGGCTATAATGTTATATGCATTGAGACTTAGCCTAGGTCATTTTATCACCAGTTCTTTTGGAGCTATGCTGAGAGGAACTGTGGGTATCTGCTTGCATTTCAGTCATTACTGACACTCTAGCATTACATAAGCAAGCATGGATGTGACCAAGAACAGACCAAGGGAGCAGTGAAATAAATTCAGATATCTTGCCTTACAAGGAAAAAGAGTGCAAGTAAAGAATTCAGATTAGTAGTAAAATATCTCAGCATATTTACTAGCTGCCTGAATTTGTCAAGTCCCTCAAATTAGTTTCAGTTTAAAAATGCATCAAATTCCAACAAAAATCATCGCCCTGTTTTCTGTTGCTATCACAAGTTACCTGAGGTTGGATTTTTATTTTGAACAAAATTGTTAATAAGTTCAGAGTTTTGGAAGTTGAAAGTCCAAGACTGGGAAGCACCATCTGTCTGGTCTCTGGGGACAGCCTACTTAGCTGTGACCCAACATGGTGGTGAGAAGGGAATAAAAATGGTCACATGCAAAAGAGACCAAGTGCACGGGATAGCCTCACATTATAACAATCCACTATCACAAAAACTAACCAGAATCCCATGAGATATACATTAATTCCTTCCAAAGACTGTGCCACAAATGACCTAATCATCTTCTGCTAGGTCCTTTCCTTAAAGGTTCTACTACCTTTCAACATCTTCAGACTGTGGATCAACCTTCTAGCACATGAATCTTTTGGAGGCAACTTAAACCATCCAAATCATAGCAACTTTCAGACAGAAATATTGTGAGGCTTCAAAGCAATGGAGTGTGGGAAACTGCTTTGGGAACCTATGTCAATAGAAGTAGTCAGTTTTCCTAAATATCCCCCATGATTTCTCTATTACTGTAGGAAAGGTAAACACTATGACCTTATGAAAATTCCACAACTGCATATTGCAAATTCAGTCTCCAAGGATTTGTGTGCTGAAAAAGAATAGTAGCAAATTTCTTTGTTCTGAGTTCTCTAGCTTTCTCTTCTTGTCTACTAGAGAATTTGAGAACATCGAGCATGAAATCCTGGCATCTTACTGATTAAGGCATGTTTCTCTGATGGACTGAGTTAAGATACACTGAAAAGCTCTGTCATGAGGATGGATAGTGGTCGAAAGTAGTCGGTACCACTGTTTCCACACAAGGTGATAAGTACCTCTCTCAACAGATGCCTACTCAAATGCAAGAGAGCATCTACAAACAATACACATAATTTTTCAACAAAAGTATCACTCAGTAAACCAGGTCAGGTTCCTGTATCATTCACAGATCTCATTTACCTCGAAGAATTTCTCATTTTTTCAGATAAGATAAAAGCAAATCATGTTATGTATGACATATATTTCTAATGAAGAAACATTCAATATTCTAATTTACTTTAATTAATGTATTGTTACGATGAAATTAGAGCACTGTTATATTGAAAGTATGCATACCTATATTGCATGTAGGTCCAATATCATTGCAGCTATTTGTCTTTGAAGACTTGGGCATGGGGACTGGGGACTGAACTCAGGACTTCATGCATGTTAGGCAAGCACTCCACCGTTGAGCCACACCCCAACCCCAACATGTAGATCCAGAAGTGATCACAGACTGTCATTAGTAGCAAATTTGTATTACCATATTCATACTTAGATCCTCATTGAATCCAAAAAATCTGCTGGTAGATCATACTTCTCCACTTAAATTGAGGTACATAAGAAAGTACTAAGGTCTTATACTCTTACTGAACCCAATTTCTAACTTTCTGTTATTATCTGTGGTTTTTGCCCCCACACTTTTCCTTCCATCTTATGTATCTTCAGCCCAGCTGAAGTTATTTGGAAAAGACACCAGGGATAATTCAGGAGGAGATAGCCTGCAAATTACAATCTGCTGCTTCAGCATTTGGCCAACTGAGGGTCCCAATCCTAATTATGAAATAAATTGGCCATGATCTTACAACAACTCAGATACATTCAAAGATGCTTGTGGATTATCAGAGATCATCACACATCATATACATTGGTTTGTGACAGAAATTAATCATCTGTATTTAAGCATTTCAACAGGATGAGTTCTTTTATGTAAATAATAGTAAAATGAAAGAAAATTATGCTAGCATGAAGCCCTGATATTTTCCTATAAATACAGGACCACTAACTGGAAGAATAATATTAACCTACATCTAATAGACACATTATGATTGTGTGACCTATTTTAAAAGTAGAGGGCCTTTGTTAGCCTCTCCATGAAGCGGTTACAAGGAAAATTCAGAATATTCACTTAATAACATAATCTGTTTTCTGACACAGAATTAGCATATCTGGTTTCAACGTGGGTCTTTCAAATATACACCATGCAAGAGAGATTCAATCACGTTTTATGTAAAATGAAACATAAAAGGATATATATCCTTGTTTAAAACACATTAACCATCTAAACTTAACTATATTTTGCTTCAGTTTTGTTCCAAAAGGACAATTAATTTTTATAAAACATTAAAATTTCATTGCAACATTGTGGTTTCTCTCCAAAGGGGTTAAGAATCAACAAAGAAACAAAGCTAGGAAAGGAACAGGGAAGGGTCAGAGATAGAGATAAATTCAAGAGCAAACACAGAATGACAGACAGGGTTATTTTCATATAGCACCTTGGCATAGATCATGGCAGTGGGGAGGAGGTGACAAAATTTAAAGAGGTTAAATTTTAGGTACAAAATCAGAAGCCACAAAGCAGTGTCTCTTACCCTGAAAAACTCTTTCGTGGAGCCAGAGTCTAATGTTCCATAAGCAATTTCTGTTTGCTTAGAAAGATCCTCAGCACTTTCGATGGGAGACACCATCCTCTCTACAGTCAGGAAGGCAGCTAAGTTAGCCGTGTAGGAGGAGATTATGATCAGGGTAAAGAACCACCACACACCTCCAACAATGCGCCCAGAGAGGGATCTAATAACAAGTATGAAATGGATTTGTAAAGTGAAATGAATGACCTAATTAAAAAAAACAAGTTAGCAGTAATACACAAATATTGACTTATACAGGAATATTTCATTTTATACTTTTCCATATTTCTACTAGTTACTGAATTTAAAAATTACTAAATATTTTGGGCAAAGAATATAGATTGACTAAATCTGATAACATACCCAGAGGACAAAACTTGAAAATGCTGGGATTCTCAAAGTTATAATGCCCAAATAGTTCATGGTATGAAATTCCATAATGAAGCAATTTTAAGAAAGGTACAAACAATTCATTAAATATCATAGTTCATTATATACTCATGACATAAATAAACATGAAGAAGAGAATCTTAGAAGATCAGCAAAACTCATAACAATGTTTACAAACAAAACTGAATTATTTTTAAAAATGAGAGTATGCACCGTGGATGTCACATTAAACAATGAAAAAATCCCTCCCTTGAATGCACCAGTGATGCTCCAATCCCTCAAAAAGGCCCAAAATTTAATCATGTTTTATGTATGCAAAAATATAGGTATTTGATACAGCATAAAAGAGAAAATGGAAAAAAAATAATACCATAAACAAAGGTATGACACAAAACATAAATCTCAAAGAATAAAAATCAGATGCCTTCACGGTATGGACTGCCCTGTTCCTGTCTGTCTCCTGCTTAAGAAAAAAGAAAACTAAAAGAAAACAAATTAGATGTTTAAAAGTTTGTCAAATAAACTCCCAGTGTGAAATATAACAAAATAGCAATATTTCTATGACTATAAATTCTTACATACAATACTTTTTAAAAGCTTAATAGATTCCCATTAATTTACTTTAAAATTTGAACTAGATAAATATAAATATGTCGATGTATAAAAAGAAATCCACCGTATTATTTCACTATATGATGATATGATATTCTACACATAATTAAAGAATTTGAGGAATATTAACAAACCAATAAACTAAATATTTTTCCTGTTCTCAGTAACTCTGCTTTGTCAAAAGTTATGAGAGTGAAGTCAATCAGACTTGCAAAAGTGAAGAGGATACAATTCTAAAAATTTAATCACAAATATTTGGCACTTTATGGCCTTAAGGTTCTCGACAATCAATATTTAAAAATGCAGCTCTTAGTAAAACAGATACTATATCAAATTGTTGGGTTATATTGGTAGAATACACCATTCAGTGAAAAAAAAAAAAAACAAAATTTTCTTTTCAAATTAGTTTGTCCCTGCCTTTGTTTTTTAGATGAAAACTCCTGTTGATTAAAATGAGAGAGAAATAGCAATGGAAAACAAAAATAATATAAGTGCTTTTACCACAAAATCTCTATGAGATGCAAAGAATTAAACAAATATGATAGCATAGAAAAAGTTACATCATGCTCACTTATGAAAAGGATATTAAGACTTATTGTTGGAAAATTCTTCAGGCAGACACAACTACTCTCAGAATGTTCACTATTTACCCTATGACATGGGAGGAATAAACTACACAATAGGTAGCCTGTATTTAAGGTGGCAGATTCAGTGCCTGAAAACTTAATCTCTTCAAAGAAAAGCTGATCACTGGCTAATTGGTTTTGACTCTACCCACTGTACCCACCACATGCTAAATTAAATGTTTAGGAATAATTTTTATAAATCATTTTTTTTCTTTGAAAAAGTAAATATCACCAGTTGATTTCTATTTCAGTGTTTAAACCAGATTCAATGAGATTAAATATTTTAATTGGTTTAAAATGTATAAATTCAAAATATTATTGGACTTACAAGTCATTCAGAAGTGAAAAATACTTAAGTATTTTTAAAGGTATCAATGAATAAAGGTTTTAAAGGTATCAATGAATGTTTCTAAATAGAAAAAAAATGATTTCTATAATTAAAAACAAAAAATTTAATTCTCAGCATATGCAATAAAGAAGCAAATAAATATACATACACTATATTTCCTTTCAATTTCTATTAAATAATTGTTTTTAAAATAACATATTTTTATATTTAATTAAATCCTTTAGAAACATTGGGAGGAAGACCCAAAGTAAGCAGAAAAATAATTCCCATTTTTAGAAACTATTCTTTGGAAAACAGTATCTTATAGTGAAGATATTATAAATTTAATTTCTGGCCAATGACCACAACAATAAGTCTAATCAATCATTCTAGATTACAATTTAAATGTGTTCTATAGACATTAATAACATAGTTCCACATCATATTTTAATTGGGAAGGAATATAATTTTTTAAAAAAAAATATTTAAAGAGCATTTCTTAAAATCACCTGTGCATTTCAAGCTTTTTCTAAAAACAGTCAATCATCCACTCTACTCTTCTGACCTAGAGTAGTCATCATTGCATTCTAAAGCATGACAGTTTGCTTCTTTTTAAAAAATCATTAAAATTTTCAACACTATATATTATGCTCACTTTTTAATGTCTATAGAACATAAAAATAAAGATAGTGAAAGCTAGAAGATCCTGGAATAACATATTTCAAACACTGAAAGAAAATGGGTTCCAACCAAGAATTGTGTATCCAGCGAAATTCAGCTTCAGGATGGAGGATGAAATTAAAACCTTCCACGATAAACAAAAGTTTAAAGAATTCGCAGCTAGAAAACCATCTCTTCAAAACATTCTCACCAAAGCATTACAGGAAGAGGAAATGGAAAATAACAATGAAAACCAACAGTGGGAGGTAGGACAGTAAAGGGGGGGGGAATATTCAAAGAGGAAAACAAACCATGTTTAGTAACAGAAATAAACAAATATGGCTGGAAGAACAACCCATATCTCAATAATAACCCTAAATGTTAATGGCTTAAACTCACCAATTAAGAGACACAGGCTAGTAGAATGGATCACAAAACAAGACCCAACAATATGCTGCCTACAGGAGACGCATTTGATAGGAAAAGACATACATAGGCTGAAGGTGAAAGGTTGGGAAAAATCATATCACTCATATGGACTTCGGAAACAAGCAGGCGTGTCCATACTCATATCAAATAAAATAGATTTCAAGCCAAAGTTAATCAAAAGGGATAAAGAGGGACACTACATAATGCTTAAGGGAACCATACACCAACAAGACATAACAATCATAAATATTTATGCCCCAAACAATGGTGCAGCTATGTTCATCAAACAAACTCTTCTCAAGTTCAAGAGTCTAATAGACCACCATACCATAATCATGGGAGACTTCAACACACCTCTCTCGCCACTGGACAGATCTTCCAAACAAAAGTTGAATAAGGAAACTATAGAACTCAATAACACTATTAATAACCTAGACCTAATTGACATATATAGAGTATACCACCCAACATCAAGCAGTTACACTTTTTTCTCAGCAGCACATGGATCCTTCTCAAAAATAGATCATATATTATGTCACAGGGCAACTCTTAGACAATATAAAGGAGTAGAGATAATACCATGCATCTTATCTGATCATAATGGAATGAAACTGAAAATCAACGATAAAAGAAGGAAGGAAAAAGCATACATCACTTGGAGAATGAACAATAGGTTACTGAATGATCAATGGGTTATAGAAGACATCAAGAAGGAAATTAAAAAATTCTTAGAGATAAATGAAAACACAGACACAACATATCGGAATCTATGGGACACATTGAAAGCAGTTCTAAGAGGAAAATTCATTGCTTGGAGTTCATTCCTTAAAAAAAGAAAAAACCAACAAATAAATGATCTCATACTTCATCTCAAAATCCTTGAAAAAGAAGAGCAAAACAACAGCAAAAGAAGTAGAAGGCAAGAAATAATTAAAATCAGAGCTGAAATTAATGAAATCGAAACAAAAGAAACAATTGAAAAAATTGACAAAACTAAAAGTTGGTTCTTTGAAAAAATAAACAAAATCGACAGACCCTTAGCCATGCCAGCGAAGAGAAGAAGAGAGAGAACTCAAATTAGTAGCATACGGGATGAAAAAGGCAATATCACAACAGACACTTCAGAAATACAGAAGATAATCAAAAACTATTTTGAATCCTTATACTCCAATAAATTAGAAGATAGTGAAGGCATAGATAAATTTCTTAAGTCATATGATCTGCCCAGATTGAGTCAGGAGGATATAGAAAACCTAAACAGACCAATATCAATTGAGGAAATAGAAGAAACCATAAAAAGACTACCAACTAAGAAAAGCCCAGGTCTGGATGGGTATACAGCAGAATTTTACAAAACTTTTAAAGAAGAACTAATACCAATACTTTTCAAGCTACTTCAGGAAATAGAAAAAGAGGGAGAACTTCCAAATTCATTCTATGAGGCCAACATCACCCTGATACCTAAACCAGACAAAGACACTTCAAAGAAAGAAAACTACAGACCAATATCTCTAATGAACCTAGATGCAAAAATCCTCAATAAAATTCTGGCGAATCGGATACAAAAACATATCAAAAAAATTGTACACCATGATCAAGTAAGATTCATCCCTGGGATGCAAGTCTGGTTCAATATATGGAAATCAATAAATGTTATTCACCACATCAATAGACTTAAAATAAGAACCATATGATCATCTCGATAGATGCGTAAAAAGCATTTGACAAAGTACAGCATCCCTTTATGTTCAAAACTCTAGAAAAACTAGGGATAACAGGAACATACCTCAATATTGTAAAAGCAATCTATGCTAAGCCTCAGGCTAGCATCATTCTGAATGGAGAAAAACTGAAGGCATTCCCTCTAAAATCTGGAACAAGACAGGGATGCCCTCTCTCTCCACTTCTGTTCAACATAGTTCTCGAAACACTGGCCAGAGCAATTAGACAGACGAAAGAAATTAAAGGCATAAAAATAGGAAAAGAAGAACTTAAATTATCACTATTTGCAGATGATATGATTCTATACCTAGCAGACCCAAAAGGCTCTACAAAGAAACTATTAGAGCTAATAAATGAATTCAGCAAAGTGGCAGTATAAAATCAACACGCATAAATCAAAGGCATTCCTGTATATCAGCGACAAATCCTCTGAAATGGAAATGAGGACAACCACTCCATTCAAAATATCTTCAAAAAAAAATAAAATACTTGGGAATCAACCTAACAAAAGAGGTGAAAGACTTATACAATGAAAACTACAGAACCCTAAAGAGAGAAATAGAAGAAGATCTTAGAAGATGGAAAAATATACCCTGTTCATGGATAGGCAGAACTAACATCATCAAAATGGCGATATTACCAAAAGTTCTCTATAGGTGTAATGCAGTGCCAATCAAAATCCCAACAGCATTTCTTGTAGAAATAGAGAAAGCAATCATGAAATTCATATGGAAAAATAAAAGACCCAGAATAGCAAAAACAATGCTAAGCAGGAAGTGTGAATCAGGCGGTATAGCGATACCAGACTTCAAACTATACTACAGAGCAATAGTAACAAAAACAGCATGGTACTGGTACCAAAACAGGCGGGTGGACCAATGGTACAGAATAGAGGACACAGAAACCAATCCACAAAACTACAACTATCTTATATTTGATAAAGGGGCTAAAAGCATGCAATGGAGGAAGGATAGCATCTTCAACAAATGGTGCTGGGAAAACTGGAAATCCATATGCAACAAAATGAAACTGAACCCCTTTCTCTTGCCATGCACAAAAGTGAATTCAAAATGGATCAAGGAGCTTGATATCAAATCAGAGACACGCCGTCTGATAGAAGAAAAAGTTGGCTACGATCTACAGTCGGTGGGGTCGGGCTCCAAATTCCTCAATAGGACACCCATAGCACAAAAGTTAATAACTAGAATCAACAAATGGGACTTACTCAAACTAAAAAGTTTTTTCTCAGCAAGAGAAACAATAAGAGAGGTAAATAGGGAGCCTACACCCTGGGAACAAATCTTTACTCCTCACACTTCAGATAGAGCCCTAATATCCAGAGTATACAAAGAACTCAAAAAATTAGACAATAAGAGAACAAACAACCCAATCAACAAATGGGCCAAGGACCTGAACAGACACTTCACAGAGGAGGACATACAGTCAATCAATAAGTACATGAAAAAATGCTCAACATCTCTAGCTGTCAGAGAAATGCAAATCAAAACCACCCTAAGATACCATCTCACTCCAGTAAGATTGGCAGCCATTAGGAAGTCAAACAACAACAAGTGCTGGCGAGGATGTGGGGAAAAGGGTACACTTGTACATTGCTGGTGGGACTGCAGATTGGTGCAGCCAATTTGGAAAGCAGTATGGAGATTTCTTGGAAAGCTGGGAATGGAGCCACCATTTGACCCAGCTATTCCCCTTCTTGGTCTATTCCCTAAAGACCTAAGAAGAGCATGGTACAGGGACACTGCTACATCGATGTTCACAGCAGCACAGTTCACAATAGCAAGACTGTGGAACCAACCTAGATGCCCTTCAATAGACGAATGGATAAAAAAAATGTGGCATTTATACACAATGGAGTATTACTCTGCATTAAAAAATGACAAAATCATAGAATTTACAGGGAAATGGATGGCATTAGAGCAGATTATGCTAAGTGAAGCTAGCCAATCCTTAAAAAACAAATGCCAAATGTCTTCTTTGATATAAGGAGAGTAACTAAGAACAGAGTAGGGACGAAGAGCAGGAGAAGAAGATTAACATTTATCAGGGATGAGAGGTGGGAGGGAAAGGGAGAGAGAAGGGAAATTGCATGGTAATGGAAGGAGACCCTCAGGGTTATACAGTGGAGGAGGTAGAGAGAGAGGAGGGGAGGGGAGTGGTGGGGAGGGGGGAGGGGGGAGGATGGGAAAGGCAGCGGAGCACAACAGACACTAGTATGGCAATTTGTAAATCAATGGATGTGTAACTGATGTGATTCTGCAATCTGTGTATGGGGTGAAGGTGGGAGTTCATAACCCACTTGAATCAAAGTGTGGAATATGATATGTCAAGAAATTTGTAATGTTTTGAACAACCCACAATAAAAAATTAAAAAATAAAAAAATAAAAAAATAAAAAAATAAAAAAGAAAGAAAAATAAAGATAGGTACTTTTAAAATATTTATTTATTTATTTATTATAATACTGGGGATACAACCCAGAATTTTATTCATGCCCAGCAAGCACTCTACTATACCACATACCTAGCCTCACATTTTAAATTTTTAATAAAATAAATTTTACATATATATATATTTAAATGCAAATAAATGTATACACATATATTTCATGATTGATGAAAAATAAATCATGAAAATTGAAAAAAAAAGCATGCTAGCTAAAATCTGTCTGTCTTACTAAGAAATAAAGATTTCTTTGTGAAATTTCTCTGTGTGAAATTGTATGAGTCATGACTTACGAATGAAATTTAAAAATCAGGGAAAAAACCCTATTTGGAAGCAGGCATAATAAAAACGAGAAGTCATCTATATGTAGTGAAGGACCCTGCAATGTCAAACACTGTTAAATGTGTCTTGTGCCCCAGACACTATGTGCAAATAGGGTTTCCATTCGTACAAGCTCAGGACACATGACAGGATTGAAGATGAGTAGGGCAAACAGAACTAAAGATCCATTCATGAGAACTCAGACAATGCATTCTACTTCATGATGCACCCCATACACTTCTCCTACACATCCAAAAAAAAAAAAAAAACAGAGCATAATTTATATCACTCCAGGATAATTGCCTTACATCTCAAATCAGGGTATCGTACTTCAGTGGCCTTCTTATCAAAGGTAAGTCATTTATTTAGTATTTTATGGACCAGAGTGTTCCCTGAGACCTTAATATGATCCCCTTTCCCTCATTATTAGGACCTTCTCTTTGTACCTTTAACTTCAATCAGATAAACTAAATATAGAGATGAAGCTGTGAATCTTCTATGTTCTGCTAGAGATGAAACATATACTAAAGATATACATATAGTCCCTCCACATGTATACATGTCATGCCATGCAAATATCATTGGCATTATTTCTAATTCTATGCAGTTTGGCAGAAAAGCCCCAGGGAATATGAGAGACCTAAGCTTTTTTAGATATATATTTGTAAAAAAATATTATTTTTTTTAAAAATCACTACCACCAGAATTCTTATCAGAGAAGTAAATCTTTGATAATTTCTGCCCACATGGCATATTTTCCTTACCTTGTGTTGTGAAACATGCTGAAAAATCATAAAAGGTATATAGTTTTGAGCTTTTCATATAGTTTTTGAAATTAATGACTGATAATTTAGGAAAGTGCCCAAAATACAACAACTTAATGAATTAATATCAGAAAATTCACGTCCTTCACTACATAAGGCATCCCTTAGAATCAAAGAAGGGTAATCCAGCCCGAAAAAAAAAATGTTCCAGTAGACTGTGAGCCATTTGGCTTTCAATGCTAAAGTTAACACACTAGAGAAAACATGATTTATTCCTCTGAAGAGCCACATATTGTTATCATTCTCACTCACATATATAAGGTAAAAGTAATTGATGCTTTGTGACAGATTTACTATAATTAGGCATTCCAGTATAGGGATTAACACATCCTAATGATACTAGAGAAGGAGTTTATTGCATGGTGTGTATGTACTACCATTCAACATGACACAAGCTTTTTAGTGAATAATTAGTCCTCTCTATGTATTCTATGTATTTCCAGATACTCAGAAACTGTTATCATCTTTTTAATCCAGCCAGCAAACCTCAAAAAAAAAGAAAGAAAAAGAAAACTTGTATAATGTCTTTTTTACAGCATTTCCATGAGCCAATGTTAGGAAAATAAAAGAAATGGGATGTGTGTGAACAAATTTTTTCCAACAAGTTTTTTTGTTGTTGTTGTTGTTAATAAATTAAATTGCCCATTTTCCCATATACAGGTCTGTGAATCAATACACAGATGACTGTAAAATGAGAATATGCAGCAAAAACACGGTACCCCTCCAAGAAGGCATGGAATGATAGAAACCTTATGCATTTTATAGCCTCTCCATGGTGTGTATAATTTCACCAGGGAAATACCTGATCAACATTCAAAGAACATTGTTCAAATATTTCACAGGCTTACGCCGATGGTCAAAGTTTGTCCTTCAAAGTCTTAATTTGCTTGGACAAGCAGTCGGCAGCTGGTAACTTCTTTAGAGTGAATTCATAAACACCATGAATATGCACTGGAGACCTAAAATGCACAAAGTTGAAGCAGGTGAGTAACCAACCTTGGCGAAATATCGCATCCTTGCTGCATAAAGGCACCCAAGGAAAACCAGAGACTATTAAAAATCCCAAATTCATTAGTTGATTCACTAGTTTGTGTTTCTCTTCCATCTTCAAATTCCTCAGTGTGCCACTCGTAGGGGCTAAATCTGCTGACCAGGAATAAAACTACACTGACCCCAATGTAGGCAAAAACAATGCACATCCAGATCTCATAGGCTAAAGGATCAAGAAATGAAAACACTCCTGGTTTGGACTTCTGAGGCTTCTTGATCATGATAGATATTCCCAGGCTCATGAAGGGCTTTGAGAAGTCGATCACCTCTTCTCTCACAAGGGTAATAGTTAATGGAGCAATTGCAATATCCGCTTTCTGTAAGGGAAACAAAGGAGAGGAGGAAATGGAATTGCAGTCAAAAACAAATCATGGTTACATGATTGGATGGAAGGGGAAGGAAAGGAATAGAAAAGTGGTAACAATTATTTCCCAGGAAAATGCCAGTAAAGAATAAACAGGAAAGCAATTTGTTGGCCAAACATCTTCCCTCTCCATAAATAAATAGGATACCCATCTGTCTTGACCATAATTATACATCTATACTGTATCTATGTCTTTGCAACCTTTATAATACATATGGCCCATACACTTCAAGACACATGGCAGGCCTACAGCAGCTATCTGCATGTTTACTTCTGGATTCAGTCTCAATCATTCACATGTCCACAAGGAAATAAGATCATATCTCTAGAGTAATGTGGGACACCAGCAATCTCAGATACAGACACTTGGAAGGGAGGGGAGGCCATTCCGTCGCAACAATTCAAATTAAATAGCTTTATAAGGAGAGCCATACTTACCCCATATACAAGTTCTCCAACCATCCCATTCCAAATTTTCGTGTCTGCATCCCTGGCCCCATACTTGCCATCCCCAACAATGGTCAACTTGTACTTGAACCCACAATGTTTTGCAATTTCTGCAGCCAAGTCGACACAATAGCCCTCATAGCGTTCATTGCCTTCAAGCATTTCATGATTTTTCTTCATCATAACATACGGAGATTCCTATATAGAAAGACCACACTTTAGCTGATTAAAATGGCTAAGTTAATAATGTACTCTCTTTGAATCATACTTCCATGTTTAATAATAACCTGTTTGCCAAAGATAATGCAGAACATATATGGTGTAAAACATTAGTGGGGAAAAGAGAATCATAATGTTTCTGGAACAAAGGTCCTCAAATACCTGTCATTATATTTCATTAAGATTACTTGTACCCATGGCACATGCCCATAATTTCAGGAACTCATGGTGGGAGGCTGAAGCAAGAAGATCACAAGGTAGAAGCCAGCCTCAGCAACTTAATGAGACCCTGTCTCAAAAAAAAAAAAAAAGGACAGGGATGTAACTCAGTGGTAGAGCAACCATGGATACAATCCTTGGTACCAGAAAAAGACAGAGCAGGGAGGGGAAGGAAGGAAGAAAGGGAGGGAGAGAGGGAGGAAGGGAAAAAAAATCTTTTACCTAACCATATCAGAATTAACAAAGTACTCGATATCACAAAATGTTAGCATGTCCCCTTCTGTTTATAATATCTAGAGCTGAGAGAGGAAAATGCCACTCAACATCTATATTATTCAACTCTGGATCTACCACACTCTTGCTCTTGGCTAAATTTGCACTGACCACAAGAACAGCATCCACCCAAAGTCTTGTGTCCTTGCTGCCCCAAGGAGTTCTCATATGGAAATCAGATCCATCTGTGTATCCTTCGATACACAGATTCAAAGACTCACAACCATGGTAACATGCTGATTCTACGCCTTCAGATTTCAGATCTCACTTCTGCTATGAGATATAAAATCCTAAGATGATGGCGCAAGGACAGCTGGAGAGTAGCTCCCTGCTCCAAACTTCAGAGGAAGCATGGAAAAATGATTCCGCATCATCTAATGTTCTTCAATGGAAGAGTCACCAAAGATATTTGAGGTCTCAATGCAATAGCTCTTCTCAATGACATGATGAAGGTGAGAATCCTCAAATGTCTAACTCACCTTTACTGAGTAAGAGACTTCCAAACTTCTACTGAGGTTTTTACTCAAATATCTTATTAGCCTTTCTATATTTGCATCTCTTATTACTGGGATAAGGAATCCCACAAACCTATTACATCAGTGCTAAAGTGAAATAAAACACAAATGTTTGTCACAAAATCATGTTCTATAATGAACTCCATTTTCTCAACTTCACCAATAGCTTGTCATCATGATCCACATTTCCCTTTCATCTATTCAGAACCCAGATCATTCAAGATTCAATTCAATTTTGCCTCATTTATTAAATATGCATTTATTTTATACTGTGCATGAACCAACCTCTGTGTACAAATTAAGGGGGTAAAAAGAATGGATATCATCCTTGTTTTTAAGAATTTCATCTTTTATTATGAAAAAAGAAGCCAAAAACATTATTAATTCATTTAACAAATGGAATACAGAGTTTACCCAGAGTTAGGTGGGAATGGCAAGGCAAAACATCTGAGGAAATATGACGACCCTCTTAGTCTTTGCCCCGTTGTTTGGGTGTGCAATAGAGTATGAACTATCTGTCAGACTATTTCAGACTTGAATGGAACAGAGAACAGTGTGAATGGTTCTGCAAGGGTTTATGTTGTTCTTTTGACAGAGAAAAATGCAATAAACGATCATAACATTGCAAAAGCAGCTCTGTATTAGTTATTGCCCTAAAACATAAACAGCAACTGTCCTTGGAAGATATTTTTCATCAGAAAAAGGAAAGTCCAACATAGGCAAATGCAGCTAATTACCAAAATTGTGGTGACAACAACAGTCTTATTCTCGAGCCCAGAGGTGTCATTTCCAGAGGGGAGCTCAGTCAGGGTAACAACCATTTTGTCCACTTCACTCCAGTATCCAATCTGAAAAAGGTCACAGCATGGATAAATGACCTTTCTGTTAAACATATTTAATTATTTTTAATCCCATGTCTAAGTCCAAAATTACACTCACATTAACTGAGCTTGTCTAAATTAAAGAATATGTACGTGTAATCAAACTACAAAGGAACTAGCAAAATACAATTCTTAAAATGGGCCTGTTTCTTCATATTCACTTTTCATATTCTCTTAGTAGTTCTGGAGTGAACTTACAGAAATATAAATAAATACCAAACTGATATTTTAACCATGAGAGTTAAAAGAAAGATGTTAAATTGAAGTTAATCCATATTTGCAGTCACTATTTTTTGGATTCTGAATACTAAACGTTCAGTAACAGTTCTCTCTCTCTCTCTCTCTCTCTCTCTCTCCAAAAATTTTTTCTTTAATTTATTTTAACTATAGTCTGAAAAAAAAGTATGACAGTTTTACTTGCTAGTGGTTTTTAAATTACATTTCAAACTTACTTACCAGAAAAGAATAGATTTGATTCAGAAAAAAAAATCAATAATATATGTTTCTAGAAGTCACTAAATTCTATGTGAACCTTCTCCAGGATGTTTTTGGAAATGTGCAATGATAATTAGCTAACTCACCTCTTCACAGAGAGACACCTGCCTTTAAATCTCTAAAGATTTACCTTCCGGGGCCCATTAGTTTTGAGCTCCATGATGTTAATCGTATAGTTTATTCTTTTTCCATTCTGGTCAAACTTTATATTTCCTGAGAGACCTTCAACCTGAACCTAATGAGGAAATGAAAAAGAAGCAGAGTTATATATTTACTTCACTAAAAGAGACAAACTATACAGGTAATTCTTACTGGGCTCCAGTGAAGAAAAGTTCATTAATAGGATTTCTTTCAGTCTTCAACCTATCTTTGTGTTGTTAGGAAATAACAATGCCTGTATATTAAACATAAGAATAAAGCAAGCATGGCAAATTCGTCAAGAAAAAATTAAAATGAATGGCCATGTTAAAAATCATAACTCTCATTTTCAGAGACTGACCTGTTTGAGGGCCCTTTCTATTTCCACACCTTGTCCCCAGGGGACTGCTGGATTTGCCAGACAGTCTCCTGCATTTCCTCTTCGGGAGATCTCGATTCTCTGCTTCCGTAGGTTGCGGAAAGCTTCGGTCATCACTTGAACAGCATCATAGGTCAGGGCAGAAGTATACTGAAAAGGGCCACACACATGTTATCAGAATGGGAGAAACATTGGACACTCGTTGCACAACGGCAAACCAAAGAGCAGTTGCCCAACACACAATTCAGAGCGCTTATAACAAAATCCAAGATTCAAACACAATTTCCACATCTACAACCCTGAGGATCCAAGAATGTGGTATGGAACGCAGGGACTACAGCAGGTGCTCTTGACTGTGAACATTTTCTGTTACGTTACTATATATACTATTTCAGGTAAGACCTTTTCATAATAATTATTTTGATGTCATTTTTCTTACTGGTTTCTCAGTAAAGCATCACTTTATGGCCAGGTATGAAGATATCCAAAACTATCAAAGTAACAAAGAAACACATATTCACTATCTAGTAAGAGAAATGTAGAAAGAGTAGAGATTGATTTCAGGACCCTCAGTCTCAGATTCAACCCTGGTGATACTCCCCAATTAGTGCAGTGGTCTTAGGAGTGTTATCTAAGTTCTCTCGAATGATTCTGGTCATAGAATAGACTAAAAATTGACCAAACTTCATGACTTCAATACCCTCTTTGTGCTTTAACAGTCTGTAATAACACTGACTCCAAACTTCCAAAGTTGAGAGTTCTGTGGGACAGCAGAGTTATCTCAGGAGCTGGAGCCAAGTAGAAAAATACTATATGAATACCTTATAGAACATGGAGATTAGAAGCCACCAGACTAATTTCTCCCTTATTTTTCAACCGTAAGACTATTAAGCTACCAGTGCTGTTCCTCTCTTGGGATGACACTGCATGAGATGGCCAAGCTCCTTCTCAGGAAGATCCCTCCAACAATGCCCCAACCCCATCTCTATAATTTCCTGAAGACATTATTTCTGCAGTCACACCGTCAAGACCCTTCAGTAGCCCCCTTTCTCTATTAGGTCATCTCTATTAGAAACAAAACTGCTCTAATATCTCCTATCAGAGGCATAGAAATAGATGTGAAAGAGAGAAAGAAAAATAAATTGATTCTCATCATTAAATCCACATGTCCCTCCAATGTCTACCCCACTTTTCTGCTCCTCCACGGACAAACTCTTCGAAACTTTCTAAATTTGCCATTCCCCCATATCAACCCTCTTTGCTCTAAGTGCTCACCTTTGGTCCATAACTTTAAATACCATCCATTTTCTGAACATTACTTCCTGCATGTAATCCTTCCTGCCCAGGCCTCTCCTAGTTACTCTTTTCACTTGAAAATATTTGTTTTCGGCCATCTCATGCACTGTCATCCCAAGAAAGGATGGTAGGGTGAGAATATCATTTATCTAATCTTTGCAAATGAGTCTTTACCAGTATCTGAGCATCTTGTGTATATATGTCATATTTGTTTATTTCATCTCTCCTCCTCACAAGAATATTTATTCCAGGGAAATCTAGACCTCGTCTGTTACCACTGAATTCTCAGAAACTAAGGCAGGGCTGGGCACACTGTAAAGACTAAAGGGGAGGGAAGGAAAGAAGGAAAAGGGGGAACTGATAAAGGAAGAAGGGAGAGAGGAATGAAAGGTAGGAGAGAAGGCAGGTGGTATGGAGGAAGGAAGAGATCTTGATATGGAACCTATCCTCATGAGACACACATTCTCTCCCACTCCAGTGAAAAGATATAAATAGATCATTGCACCTCACTGTAATATTTTAAGTTGGTTCCATGGTGGATAGGTATGTATTCTTTCTTTTAATATGAAAGATTTTTCAAAAAGGCAAATAATAAAATAGTTTATTGGTATAACTTATCTCCTCCATGCAGCCTGAAATCCTAGAAGCCTTCATTTTATTTTTATGCCAGAATGGTAGGGTGAGAATATCATTTATCTAATCTTTGCAAATGAATCTGTTCAGTTGAATTGCTTTCATTTTACCACATAAATGACATAAGTGAACAAATTTGGTGGGGGAGTTAAGAAGGAGAAAGAATAAAAAGACAAAATCAGTTTGAGGCCACAGTGCACTGTGAATGAATATGAGTGTTGCAAACATAATAAGATATTCATATTTACATGTAAAAAAAAAATCTTCTTTTTCTTTTCTCACTGCTCCCCCTGGGATTGAACCCAGGACCTCACACATACTAAGCAGATGCTCCACCACTGAACTACATCCCCAGCCTCACTTGTAAATTTCTTTCTAAAATTTTTTTCTCAAATGCCATCTGTTAAAATTTCTTCTCATGGGCTTCAGTGTCCCATAGGTACGATGTCCCTTCTCACTCCCTTGGGTTTCTAAAGAATCTATAGATATCTCCTGAATGGTCACACTTGTGTTTCCTACTCTTGCCTCAAACTAAACAGATCTAAATGAAACCCATTCTCAATTTTTGCAAAATCTGCAATTTTTACCTTTAAAAATTGTAGGTATTAGGCAAACTATAACACGTGAGAGAGCCACTTGGCCAACTTATGCTAACTGGAAAAAATATGCTAACTCCAAAAAATATTCTGGAAAACAGTGAATTTTCATAGAAAGATTATTAACTTTGGTGTTGTTTGTAGCATGAAAAATATTAGAAACAACCTAAATTTCTGAAAACAAGGAAATATGTAAGACACTACATTTTCTGCCATGGGAAGTATTTTGTAGCTATTACAAAATGATACTAATAGAAGACAAACCAGTATAGAGTAGAGAAAGGAGAATAAAGGAGGAAGGTGGGGAATAAAAGAGAAAGCACTGGGGACTAAAGTTGAGCAAATTATCCCTCAGGCATGTATGACTGTGTCTAAATGAACCCCATTGTTACATGTAACTATAGTGCACTAATAAAAAATTTTAAAGTGATACTAAGAAAGGTTATGTAACAAAACAATTAATGCCTTCAATGAAATCAGTGATAAATATTACTATTACATCTCAATTGAAAAAGTCAAAAATCAAATAAGAAGATTAATAAGAAATAGATCCTTTCCAAAAAAAAAAGAAGGGTGGTTATAATATTAGGGAGGAGACATAGATAATTACATTTCTTTTCCAAATATCCTACAATATCTATGTATCATTTTTAAAAATTAGATTATATTCCCATTGCTTCATACCTTGTCTACTTAAGGAAAGACCTTTGAAGCAAATAAGAAATGTCACAGCAGGGTACATCTGCCTCAATTGTGTGTCTGTTTCTATTTTCCTAGATGGAAAAGCATTGATGAATTTGCTTTCTTATATAGCATTCAGTTCATTGCCACCTTGACTCTTAAAATAATGTTCAGGTCTCTGGATAGGAAATGGAGCCTAAATTGAATAAACTGGATGTTAAAAATATTGCAATTTATATTGAAATTATGATAATAGCTAAAAGCCAAAATCTTCATTGAGTCAGCTTGCTCACATTACTAGGAGAAATCTGTAAAGCCATCTACTAAATGTATTAGTGGTCTATAAATGTTGGTGAACTACATTAAAAAATAAGATTAGACCAAACGAACTAAAAGCACTTAGATCCATGCTGCATATTGCCATTATAACTCAGAGCCTGAGCACATTAGAAAGAAAAATCCTTCAACCTTTTTCAAATGCTCAAATCTAATCACGTCTTAAGCCTATTATCATTTTAAATTAAAAGTCACAGTCACAGAAACACAATTCTGGGCTAAGAGAAAATCAGCTGCTTCTGCCTCCAGAGTTCCTTTTGGTTTATGTTCTGCATATATGGCTCATTGATTCTCCCAAACAAGTATGTTCACATTTTTGACTGGATAGTTAAATATTTCTGTTTTATTCGACCATCCGCTAAAGTAGATGTAAATTAATTTGAAGGGAACATGATGGCAGTGTAACTATCTCCTTCTTTGAAAACAAATGCTTCATCTCTGCCCTGATGTTTACATTCTGTGAAATCCCTGAGCTGAGCTGGAAATTTCAATAGGAGACCATTTCGCTTTGCAGTCCTATTTCATGAACACATCATCTCCACACTATCAGAAGAAATCTGGAAAATCATCTTTATAGTCCATTTTCCAAATGCTCTTTTTATTCCATTTTGAATGCATATTTATTGAAATGTACTGTTCAAAATTAAGTAAAACATGCATTTTAAATGTTTATTTTGTCCAACAGTCATCAGACAAACCATTCAATAACACATTACTATTACCACTGATACCAGAATACATCATGCCTGACATCAAAAGCAGTAGGGGTAGGTATAGGTAAAGTTGTATGTTCATTGTGAACATAATGAATATAAAAAAGGATAGACAACAGCATAAAGTTTTATGGATTATCATCACGATGGCATCTTTTTCTAAACATACTATCCATCTCATGATCAAATAGAAAAAAGATATTCAAAAATGAAAGTACTGACCATTAAATAGTATCAAAGTGTTACAAAATGTCCTGTGAATAGCCACTTTCTAAATTTTCCATGAAACTCAAAATTTAGTTGAGTGCAGTTTAGAAAACATTGCATTTAGTACCAAAAGACAAGGAAGGCTCCATTCCAGATTTTACTATTTATTGCTCTGTTATCTTTGGGCAAGTTAACAAGTATTAGTTTCTAAGGGTTCTTAGCCAAAAAAGGAGAACAAGGACCCTTTTATGCCATAGAAGTGTTGAAAAGAAAGATGAGGAAGAAGAATTTTGTTCACTCAGCTCTCCATGTGGCAAACTTCAGTAAGTCCTTTTAAAACAATCCTATACCACAGTATTTTTATTCTGATTTTGTAGGTGTGGATTCCAAGTTATAAAGGTTTTGGGGGGGGGGATTGAACCTAGGGGGTGTTTTATCCTGAGCAACACCCCAGCCCTTTTTTAAAATTTTTATTGTTTTTGTTTTGAGACAGGGCCTTGCTAAATTACTGACGCTGGCCTTGAATTTGCAATCCTCCTGCCTCAGCCTCCCAAGTTGCTGGGATGACGGGAATGTACCAATGTGCCCAGCTTAACATTGTATTTTATACCTGAACACAAAAATATATGACAAAAGTGGAATTATAATTCAGATTCCTGCATCCTTGGGTCACTGAGGGAACCCCACT